GATTTGACTTGTCACATTGCATAGGATGTTGTTTCTTCAAAAGACTTGCCCCAATCCTCATGATCTTCTTGTTCTTCTTCAACATGTTCTTCTTTGAGCTGATACGACTTTTGGAATGAAGGTTCTTCGACTTCATTTGCAGTTATGCTCAATTCCATATCATGTGCTCGAGTGGCGAACTCTTCAAAACTTTTAGGTTGAATTCCTTAAAGGATATATCGGAGTCCCCATTGCATTCCTTGGATGCACAGTTCAATAGTTGATGTCTCGGGCAGTCGATCCTTGCAATTAAGACTCAAATTTCTCCAACGGTTGATGTAGTGGATGACAGGTTCCTTCTTCCATTGGCGGGAATTGGTGAGCTCAATCATGCTGATTGTTCTTCGTGTGCTGTAAAAGCGGTTGAGAAATTCTTCCTCCAAGTGCTTCCAACTATCAATGGAGTTTGCCCCCAAATCAATGTACCAATCAAACGCGTTGTCTTTGAGCGATTGGACGAATTGCTTGACGAGGTGATCTCCGTACGTCCCGGTATTATTGCAATTCTCGACGAAGTGTGCCACATGTTGCTTGGGGTTGCCTTTGCCGTCAAATTGTTGAAACTTTGGCGGTATATAGCCCATTGGCATCCTTAGATCATCAATCCTTTGCGTGTATGGCTTGACATAGGTTGATGGAGACTTCGAGCTTCCTTCCAACTTGTCTTTGATGGTTCCACTGATCAACGTCATCACTTGATCTACATGAATCATCCCTTTTGGAGAAACTTGAAGTTCTTGAGCTGGAGCCTTCTCGATTTCAACTTGTTGTTGCTTTGTGGATGTCTCGACTTTGTCTTGAACCTCTATTTGATTCTCCACAGCTTGACTAGCATCGGCTTTGTCCATCTTGTTGATCAACTCGGCAATTTGAGAATCTCGTTGTTGAACATGCTTTGCGAGTCCCTCAATGGCCTTTGTCAAACTTGCAATTTGTTCCTCCATGCTTGTAGCGTTTGTTGTCATGACGGATGCCACCTCTGAGTAGACTGATGTTAAACGAGGCGTGGGCTGTGAAATCTCTCGTTTTAAACCTTCCATGTCTGCGCTTGTATTGACAAGAGGTGGTAAGCCTTTCTGAATGGTTTGGGGCGTCGAGCTAGTCTCCGAGGATGCTTGCAGCTTCTTAGCCATACTCCTTGTAACTAAGCCTACACTTGATGAATCCGAAGTAGCAGTCTTCATTGCGAACGTAGAGCAGTCACTGCAACGCTTCGAGGATCTTCGAGAGAGAGAAGAGATGAGAGGTAGAGATGTCCCACCGGGCGTGCCAAAATTTGTAGCAACAAATTCTTATCTGCGATTTAAACAAACAAGAAAAACTTGCACAAAGATAATTTATTGAATTAAAAAATAAATATTGCGGGTTACAAACTCTAATTTAATCCTCTGATTCTTCTCTCAAGAACAATATGCGTTTGACTTTGAATTTCGGAGTCGGGTCGTTGACTTGATCTTCTCCGGATCCGATTTTATGTTTTGGAACGTCTTACGAGGGTCGTGCGACTTGAATCTCGGATCGGACGCTGACCTTTGACAGGTTTTAAAGAGAAGTCCAGAACAATAACGGGCTCTGAGGTGAAGATCTTGCAGTTCGAGAAGGAGAATTTCCGTCAATTAACAGTCGAGCCTGCCCTCTCCATGTTTGCGTATGACCCGGGTGTGTTTTGGAGAGTTGGCAAGATCATCTTGGTTGATCGCTGAGAGTAGCGTGGACAGACC